TAATGGTCAGCCTCTGAACGCACATATGAACACATGGCTGCTCGAACCCAAGTTGTTTTTTTTAGGATATTGTAAGGATTAGAGACGGCCAACGAATAATGGTCAGCCTCTGAACGCACATCTGAACACATGGCTGCTCGAACGGAAGTTATTTTTTAGGATAATGTAAGGATTAGAGACGGCCAACGAATAATGGTCCGCCTCTGAACGCACATATGAACACATGGCTGCTCGAACAGAAGTTTTTTCTTTTTAGGATATTGTAAGGATTAGAGACGGCCAACGAATAATGGTCAGCCTCTGAACGCACATTTGAACACATGGCTGCTCGAACGGAAGTTGTTTTTTTTTTTAGGATATTGTAAGGATTAGAGACGGCCAACGAATAATGGTCAGCCTCTGAACGCACATATGAACAAATGGCTGCTCGAACGAAAGTTTTTTTTTAGGATATTGTAAGGATTAGAGACGGCCAACGAATAATGGTCAGCCTCTGAACGCACATATGAACACATGGCTGTTCGAACGGAAGTTGTTTATTTTTTAAAGGAAATTGTAAGGATTAGAGACGGACAACGAATAATGGTCAGCCTCTGAACGAACATATGAACACATGGCTGCTCGAACGGAATTTGTTTTTTTTAGGATATTGTAAGGATTAGAGACGGCCAACGAATAATGGTCAGCCTCTGAACGCACATATGAACACATGGCTGCTCGAACGGAAGTTGTTTTTTTTAGGATATTGTAAGGATTAGAGACGGCCAACGAATAATGGTCAGCCTCTGGACGTACATATAAACACATGGCTGCTCGAACGGAAGTTTTTTTTTTTTAAGGATATTGTGAGGATTTGAGACGGCCAACGAATAATGGTCAGCCTCTGAACGCACATATGAACACATGGCTGCTCGAACGGAAGTTGTTTTTTTAGGATATTGTAAGGATTAGAGACGGCCAACGAATAATGGTCAGCCTCTGAACGCACATATGAACACATGGCTGCTCGAACGGAAGTTGTTTTTTTAACGATATTGTAAGGATTAGAGACGGCCAACGAAGAATGGTCAGCCTCTGAACGCACATATGAATACATGGCTGCTCGAACGGAAGTTGTTTTTTTTTAGGATATTGTAAGGATTATAGACGGCCAACGAATAATGGTCAGCCTCTGAACGCACATATGAAAACATGGCTGCTCGAACGGAAGTTGTTTTTTTTTTAGGATATTGTAAGGATTAGAGACGGCCAACGAATAATGGTCAGCCTCTGAACGCACATATGAACACATGGCTGCTCGAACGGAAGTTGTTTTTTTTAGGATATTGTAAGGATTAGAGACGGCCAACGAATAATGGTCTGCCTCTGAACGCACATATGAACACATGGCTGCTCGAACGGAAGTTGTTTTTTTTAGGATATTGTAAGGATTAGAGACGGCTGACGAATAATGGTCAGCCTCTGAACGCACATATGAACACATGGCTGCTCGAACGGAAGTTATTTTTTAGGATCCTGTAAGGATTAGAGACGGCCAACGAATAATGGTCAGCCTCTGAACGCACATATGAACACATGGTTGCTCGAACGGAAGTTGTTTTTTTTTAGGATATTGTATGGATTAGAGACGGCCAACGAATAATGGTCAGCCTCTGAACGCACATATGAACACATGGCTGCTCGAACGGAAGTTTTTTTTTTTTAGGATATTGTAAGGATTAGAGAAGGCCAACGAATAATGGTCAGCCTCTGAACGCACATATGAACACATGGCTGCTCGAACGGAAGTTGTTTTCTTAGGATATTGTAAGGATTAGAGACGGCCAACGAATAATGGTCAGCCTCTGAACGCACATATGAACACATGGCTGCTCGAACGGAAGTTGTTTTTTTTAGGATATTGTAAGGATTAGAGACGGCCAACGAATAATGGTCAGCCTCTGAACGCACATATGAACACATGGCTGCTCGAACGGAAGTTGTTTTTTTTTAGGATATTGTAAGGATTAGAGACGGCCAACGAATAATGGTCAGCCTCTGGACGTACATATAAACACATGGCTGCTCGAACGGAAGTTTTTTTTTTTAAGGATATTGTGAGGATTTGAGACGGCCAACGAATAATGGTCAGCCTCTGAACGCACATATGAACACATGGCTGCTCGAACGGAAGTTGTTTTTTTTTAGGATATTGTAAGGATTAGAGACGGCCAACGAATAATGGTCAGCCTCTGAACGCACATATGAACACATGGCTGCTCGAACGGAAGTTGTTTTTTTAACGATATTGTAAGGATTAGAGACGGCCAACGAAGAATGGTCAGCCTCTGAACGCACATATGAATACATGGCTGCTCGAACGGAAGTTGTTTTTTTTTAGGATATTGTAAGGATTATAGACGGCCAACGAATAATGGTCAGCCTCTGAACGCACATATGAACACATGGCTGCTCGAACGGAAGTTGTTTTTTTTAGGATATTGTAAGGATTAGAGACGGCTGACGAATAATGGTCAGCCTCTGAACGCACATATGAACACATGGCTGCTCGAACGGAAGTTATTTTTTAGGATCCTGTAAGGATTAGAGACGGCCAACGAATAATGGTCAGCCTCTGAACGCACATATGAACACATGGTTGCTCGAACGGAAGTTGTTTTTTTTAGGATATTGTATGGATTAGAGACGGCCAACGAATAATGGTCAGCCTCTGAACGCACATATGAACACATGGCTGCTCGAACGGAAGTTTTTTTTTTTTTAGGATATTGTAAGGATTAGAGAAGGCCAACGAATAATGGTCAGCCTCTGAACGCACATATGAACACATGGCTGCTCGAACGGAAGTTGTTTTCTTAGGATATTGTAAGGATTAGAGACGGCCAACGAATAATGGTCAGCCTCTGAACGCACATATGAACACATGGCTGCTCGAACGGAAGTTGTTTTTTTTAGGATATTGTAAGGATTAGAGACGGCCAACGAATAATGGTCAGCCTCTGAACGCACATATGAACACATGGCTGCTCGAACGGAAGTTGTTTTTTTTTAGGATATTGTAAGGATTAGAGACGGCCAACGAATAATGGTCAGCCTCTGGACGTACATATAAACACATGGCTGCTCGAACGGAAGTTTTTTTTTTTAAGGATATTGTGAGGATTTGAGACGGCCAACGAATAATGGTCAGCCTCTGAACGCACATATGAACACATGGCTGCTCGAACGGAAGTTGTTTTTTTTTAGGATATTGTAAGGATTAGAGACGGCCAACGAATAATGGTCAGCCTCTGAACGCACATATGAACACATGGCTGCTCGAACGGAAGTTGTTTTTTTAACGATATTGTAAGGATTAGAGACGGCCAACGAAGAATGGTCAGCCTCTGAACGCACATATGAATACATGGCTGCTCGAACGGAAGTTGTTTTTTTTTAGGATATTGTAAGGATTATAGACGGCCAACGAATAATGGTCAGCCTCTGAACGCACATATGAAAACATGGCTGCTCGAACGGAAGTTGTTTTTTTTTAGGATATTGTAAGGATTAGAGACGGCCAACGAATAATGGTCAGCCTCTGAACGCACATATGAACACATGGCTGCTCGAACGGAAGTTGTTTTTTTAGGATATTGTAAGGATTAGAGACGGCCAACGAATAATGGTCTGCCTCTGAACGCACATATGAACACATGGCTGCTCGAACGGAAGTTGTTTTTTTTAGGATATTGTAAGGATTAGAGACGGCTGACGAATAATGGTCAGCCTCTGAACGCACATATGAACACATGGCTGCTCGAACGGAAGTTATTTTTTAGGATCCTGTAAGGATTAGAGACGGCCAACGAATAATGGTCAGCCTCTGAACGCACATATGAACACATGGTTGCTCGAACGGAAGTTGTTTTTTTTTTAGGATATTGTATGGATTAGAGACGGCCAACGAATAATGGTCAGCCTCTGAACGCACATATGAACACATGGCTGCTCGAACGGAAGTTTTTTTTTTTAGGATATTGTAAGGATTAGAGAAGGCCAACGAATAATGGTCAGCCTCTGAACGCACATATGAACACATGGCTGCTCGAACGGAAGTTGTTTTCTTAGGATATTGTAAGGATTAGAGACGGCCAACGAATAATGGTCAGCCTCTGAACGCACATATGAACACATGGCTGCTCGAACGGAAGTTGTTTTTTTTAGGATATTGTAAGGATTAGAGACGGCTGACGAATAATGGTCAGCCTCTGAACGCACATATGAACACATGGCTGCTCGAACGGAAGTTATTTTTTAGGATATTGTAAGGATTAGAGACGGCCAACGAATAATGGTCAGCCTCTGAACGCACATATGAACACATGGCTGCTCGGACGGAAGTTGTTTTTTTTTAGGATATTGTAAGGATTAGAGACGGCCAACGAATAATGGTCAGCCTCTGAACGCACATATGAACACATGGCTGCTCGAACGGAAGTTTTTTTTTTAGGATATTGTAAGGATTAGAGACGGCCAACGAATAATGGTCAGCCTCTGAACGCTCATATGAACACATGGCTGCTCGGACGGAAGTTTTTTTTTTTAGGATATTGTAAGGATTAGAGACGGCCAACGAATAATGGTCAGCCTCTGAACGCACATATGAACACATGGCTGCTCGAACGGAAGTTGTTTTTTTTAGGATATTGTAAGGATTAGAGACGGCCAACGAATAATGGTCAGCCTCTGAACGCACATATGAACACATGGCTGCTCGAACTTTTTGCGGTAGCCAGTTATGGTCATACTGTTGACACTTAAATCGTGTTAACGAATCTTCAGCACCATAAGTACACTTTGAAAATGAAATCAAAATTACTTTTGTTATTTTGTTGGTCTGATTATGGTAGTGCTTTCTACCCATCAAGTTCTACTATCTTAGGAAGAGGGGTTATAAAGTTTAATGATTATAAGAAAAAGTAAGTTGGTTTTAATATTTTTAATTTTTTCTGTTTCAGATCATTCTTCAGATTTGGGCAACGGCTTCTCAAACATGTCAATCAGCAATGGAAATGCGCATTTTTCGAATGGCCATTCTCACGTATGTGTTGTATTTCATGGAAGAGCAATTGGTCATACCACTATCGAGCTATTAACGATCGCCTGTCACCAATTAATCTCTTGTCATTTCTTGTTTTTGATTTGAAGTACCTCACTTTCAAGTAAAGAAAAAAATCTCTACCAAATATCAGAAATCATTTGCAAGGCTCCTGAATTATATTTGTTTTTGTCCATCTCATTGAGTGAGAGACTTGCGACTTCATTCTTTTTGCTCTGAATTATATGGCAAATGTTCAATCTCGAGGATGTTTTGATACGAACCATCTTTACTATATGTGGATATGGGTGTCGGAGTTGGTGTTTGAATAGGCTACCAAAATTTAATTTAATCCGGGCCTGTGCTTGAAAAGATTCCAAGCGTATGCATTTTAGATGAATCCATCAGCTAGATTGCCCCTTCTCGAGGTGGCACGGATTTTCGTTAAATGTTCGAAAGTTTTGTCGACCTTTTCGTAGGTTGACTAAATTGTTTTTCCGAGCTCTAAATAGTTTTGTCGAGATCTCAAAATAGTACAAGAGCGGACCCTTTGGACCCACTATCCTACTGCCCTTTCTGTTTTTGAAGTGCTGATGTTTTGTTTCTAGCTTTCCCAGCACCCCCAACCTCAAATGCAACAGCAGACGTCACTGTCTTCTGCCAATCAGCACTTGAGTGAATTCCAGATGCTCATGGACAACAATAGGCCAGCTGTGTTGCAGCCAGTCAGCACCGGCAACGTCCATCACGATTCGCTAATAAACGAATTCAAGAACCTAGTCTTAGAACTCAGTAAAAACCCGACTGCGTTTGACGAACGCGTGCCCTTTCTCATAGAAAGTCTCAACTTCACAAACACCGTACCAACAGAAGTTATCAAAGAAATAGTCGCTACTTTGGTGAAATGGGTAAAGCAATTGAAGTACACAATCTATTAATAAACAATTTAATAGTGTTAAAGTTAGTATCATTTCTTGTTCACAGGCAATAGAAAGTGAAAGTTTTCGGTACACTGGATCGAAACTGGCAAACTACCTCGCTCTTCCTGGACAGCTAACCTTCGATTTCCTTAAAGTATTTCTCGATAGGTGAGATAAGACATTATGAAGACAAAGATAAAACTAATTATTGAAATGATCATTTGTTCATTGTTCTGACGAATTGCGAAGTCTTTTTTTGAACGGTTGTGTCTTATACTATAAACGTTATGCGCTTCAGTTAGTTTTATTCCAAATTATTACTTGCAAAATTGTGTCTATTTGTATTTGGTGCCACTTTTGCTGAATTGCATGGTCAATTTATTAGCATGTAGCTGCTTTAATTGTGATAGTGTTTGTGGGTGATTAAGCGTGCGTGGCTGAGTGCTTAGTGCTTGAGACTCAAAATCTTTTGACTGCAGTAGATCACGGATCGAATTCCAAGCTTATTTCTATTTTTCTTATTGCATTTTCTAGAGCTGTTTCTTGTCGTTTCTCGTTATTGTTTGCGAGGCGAAGCTTCGCCTCTGTGTTAAAGGACGGCAAACTCCACTATCGAGCAAAATAGTGCAAAGGTCAGGAAAAATATGGTTGACTTCTAATTTCGAAAGTGGTTTTCATTTTTCAGGTTACTCAGCGGAAAGAAAACGTTACCTATTGATCCAGTATTCACAAATTGAATTAATTTTATTTAGAGTAATGAACGTAGTGGATATGTCTTGCTGATTTTTTTTTTCAGGAAAAGGCTTAAAAGTCTCTAATAAATACAGATGTGCATTCATACATTTTGATGCGTTTATGAATGCACTTAAGTATACATGAACTTCTTGAGTTCAATTGAAATTCATTTGCTGAAAGTGACATAAATAGCACTCTCCAAATACGAACGTGCAGATGGCGCAAAAAAACGTGAACGATTTCTAGTTTCGAAAGGGGAATTTACTTTTTAGATTTCCAGCGGAATAAAACCTTAATCTAATGATCCAGTTTTCTCAAGTTGGGTTAATGTTATCAAAAGATCTTATGTTATTCGAAGAGCTTAAGGGGCATACATTTTTTTTTCTTCGAAATTTAAGAAAAAAAATCTCAGTTTACTCTTTTGTTTCATTACTCTTTTCCAATCTTCGATTGGCTATGTTCAAAACATTTCAACTCAAAAATTTTTGTTGAAATTCAAAGAGCTTAAAGACCATATATTTTTTACTTTGAATTTCAATGGAAGTTTTTTCGAAAAACAGGTCAGTTTTTTCTGCTTATTTGCGTTTCTTGATTATTTTCCGAGTGTCTGTTACCTTTTTTGATTTGGCATATTTTCGTCTGTAATTTTACGTTTTAGAGGTTACTTCGGCTTAATTGGTGTTTGCTTCTGTTTTGTTGGTGTAGAGGTGACAATGTATTACTAATGCTATTGTGTTTCGGTGGAAGTGGCGACAAGTTTGATATAGCTCAAAGTTTGATATAGGTTCAACGGTCATAAGTGTTTTCTACTTAGCTACCACTTGATATTTTTTGTTTCAAGGCTAATCTAGCATTCGAAGTTGTTTCTTGTCACGTTTTTCAAATTTAACTTCGCTCGAGAGAAATTTAAAAATTTCGGTTGTTGTTTTTTTTCGGTGTTTTGTTCCTTTCTTTATTGAACTTTATCTTCCCTGTGACCGCTTCTTATGTGGTCTTCAGGTAGAGTACGCCCTTCGGAACCAGGACTAGTCCCGGCCGAACTTTTTAGTTTTTCTTATGTGGAACTTCTTCGATGTGAATTGATGGGCTACCGTTTGTCTGCTTATTTTTTTGTCTGCTTACTTTCGATTTTAGGGATTTTTCCGTCAAAGCATAGTTTTTCTTCTGATTCAACCTTTTTAATGATAACTCAACCTCTTTCTGTAGTTTGTTATTTATAAACCTGATTTGGCGTATTAATTTTTTTTGCTTAAGTCGGTTAAGATTATGCTATTGCCTAAGTTTGCGTCGTTGGCAGAGCAAAATTTGTCAAGGCGGTCTGTTTCATGTGCAATGGTGCGAAAAACGTCAAATTTTGAAATTTTATAGCTCAGCTTACAATTTTCTATGGCAACCTTGTTTTCGGCTCATTGTCTACCCTAGCTTTGTCGGCTCAAATGCAGCTTGGCAAAGGATAATGAATGCTTATTTAACGGCGATGATTGTGTATGTTTCGTGAAATTGAACATCATTCGAGCCAAGTTTATGAAATATTTGTAATAGATTTTTATAGTAATTTCTGTGACATAGTGGATTCCGTCACATTTTCTGCCTGCTTCGTTTGTTTCGCAAGTGTGGCGAAGCTTTTGTGTAATTTTTTTCGGCTCTGGCTTTCGTCTATTTGTCTTTCGGCTAGCTACTAGGCTTTTTTGTGTTGTATAGCAACTGGGAGAATTTCCGCTTGGCCTCTTTGTTCAAAGAATTTATCTCATAGTTGACTTCAGAAAATATTGAAGTGGAGCAAAAATGTAGCTTCACCTTTGAGGTCACCAGCAGTTCATTGATAGAAACTGCGTTTCAGAAATTTTTCAACTTAATTTATCTCACAATTTTTTTAAACGCCTAATTTATTAGACTCGCGAAAGCAAGTGTCTGGTAATCGGCAACTAGACTTTTTTTTCTTTCTAGCATCTGCAGTTCGAATTCAAGTAACTTTATTAGTGAACCCAAGGAACTTCAAGACTGCTTCTCACTTTGCCAAGAGGTAAGGATGTTGTCTTTGTATCCTTAGGCCTGGAGTTCGAATCCTGTGACCGGACTTGTTTTTTTATGTATGAATCAAATTATAAAAAAAACTGTCCGATACAAATTGAATTGTCGGATTTTTGCTTGTTTATTTATGTTTTGTCGGCTTCTTTGCCACATTTTAGATTTTTCTTCTGCAGTCAGCAATTTTTGTCGTAGCTGCTAGTGTTTTTAATCTATCCGTTGATGAACTTATTAGCCCTGACTTGTATATTTTCTTTGTGTTTGTTTTTGTTTTGCTTAAAAGCTGGATTCGGTATTATTGTTTTCGGCTTTCGTTTTATTGGCTTAGTTACTTCGATATGTGAAGCTTCAAGGGCACAAAAAGATGGAATAAAAATCAAGTAGCTTGTCTCACAAAAAATCTAAGTCTTTAAATTTTAATTGATCAAAATAATTTTGTCAACATTTTATTAGCAGATTTTATTAGTAATTTTTTTGATTTTGTTATTTCCGGCTTGTAGTTTTTGCTTACTTTCAATGCTGTGCGTGCGTTGTATCGCAAGTGGTGCAAAGTTCCGCATCGCCTCTGTAAAATTTTCGGTGTTATACTTTCCATTTTTTTACATGCAAACTTAGTGTAGATGCCGTAAGTTCAATGTAATCGAAATTATTAATTGTTATTTTTGTGTCTAATTATATATGGTGCGAATTTGGGTGCATAGTTTTGTTGTGATTGCAGTGTGACGACTGAGTGCTACGACAGACTGGACGACCTGATCAGCTGTACGACAGCCAACGACTACCAAGTGCTGGAGGGCATCATGCTGTTCATGAGTGAGTTGTACTTGAACATGGGCATCGTCACCCTAGACAGCACAGGCCAACATGTGCAGTCAATATCACGCATCGAGTTCCTCAAAGACACTTTGAAGCGTGCAATTCTCAAGATACTGGAGAAGGCAGACTCAGACAAGCCCCTCAACACTGTCGGAAAAGTGCTCAAGGTACTTCAAACTGAATGAAGTTGGCTCGTCAATTTTTAAATCTGTTATGGGCAAATAGAAGCATCAGAATGTGCCAGCCAGAAGAATCTTTGCTAATAAACTGTTAAAGACTGCTCAATGAAACGCAAAGTTGTTGATCACATACTAAAGCAATTTCTTATGTCGACAATAGGTAAAAAATCAGTCTTGTATAGCAATTACTGTGTACTTGCCATTGAAAATAACTGTTATTCTTCCGCGGTAAAAAGAAGATACGATCGATCTAGACTGTGCAAGTGTATAAACAGTCTAATCGTGAACTACCTGCCAAGTCACGGGGCGACAATTGGAAGCATTTTAAGAAGCAACAACTCTTCGCACAGCAATTTTGATAATTATATAGGTATTTCGAAACAAATTGATTTAGCAATGCGCACAGCAACCAAATGGCCATCTTTGATAAATTGCCGTGCGACGAGTTTTCGCTTTTCTAATTTGTCATTTTGGCCATGTCCTACCAAGTTAACCAGTCGAAAGAGATACTGCGTATTTACATAATAATTGTTTGACAGTGATGCAACAGCTATACATAAGTTCCTTTCATTCCAGGTCATTTTTTCCGCACTGAACATCTAGAAATATCGTCTTTGTATCGTCTTGTTAAGATGAATGTTCTTGTTACGATTAATTTTTACTATTAGTATTATTTGCTCATATGCCTAAATTTTGGTGTTTATTTTCAAGGCCCATTGCTTGTTCTGTTTCAGTTGACGGGGGCTGCACTAGAAGAGCAGAAACAGACGAAGCCGGACAAAGAGCTCACCGACTTAATCTTCGTCCACGTGGACGCCATATCAAAGCAAGACTATTGCCACAGGTATTAATCACCCCAACAATAGGAGAGAGGAAAGACACGTGCATACTCTTAAAAGTGCATAGAAGTGAAATAAAAACAGCAATGAAATGGTGTGGAGAACATGGAAACGGTTACTAACTTTGTTGCAAAAAGACGATTTTTGGGCGTTTTTGCATTGCATTAAGTTGACTTCATATCTTTTGTTAAAAGGAAGGCAAACTCCACTATCGAACAGCAAAAATGTAAAGGTCACGAAAAACTTTTTAAAATTTAATGAAAGCCTTCTAGTGTTTTTGTTAAAGAAGCGCTAAATTAAGCTTCAAACATTATTCACGGCTGTTGTGCTATTATAACACCTATAGTAGCTTAAATCACTGCCAAATTATCGCGAACTAGACTAAAAAGCATAAATTTTGAGCGTTTTTTTTAAAATATTGCTCGATTAAGGAATGAAAGGGAGTTAAAATGATTTATAACTCGGCTGGCTATTCTTATAGAACATCGAAACGGTTACTAACTTTGTTACAAACGGGCTGTTTTCAGGAGTTTTTGCGTTTTAATTACCTGTTCTATTGGAAACTTGTTTGGTTGTAAAATCACTATCTCCAAACTGTGACAAGAGTAGACGGTTGCTGTGCAAGAAACATCTCTCATCAAGCCAAACCAAAAAAAAAACAGCACACCTTTTTGAAAAAAAATGTGTGCAGTTTTTTTGGGCGTTGTGGGATGAGAGGAATAAAAGGAAAGCTTATTACTATGCCAAACCGTGGATTTTTAAAATTCCAAACCGTGATTCTGGAATAAGGCTATTTTTTTAAAATCATCTTACTGTTGTGGAATCTACAAAAAATTGGCTCAAGTATTGTATTGCTCTAAAAGCTGCAATTTTTGCGGATTCTGCTACTTTTTTAGTGCCGACTAATTTACTTGACATTATTTTGGTGGATTCTTTGTCACGTAAATTGGATACTTGATACCTGATATTTTGGATACTTGGAAGTGGTTGCTTGACATTTTATGGTGGATTCAAGAACATGCATTTACAGTAATTTTAGTAAATTTATTAGCCAACTAGTTAGGATTAATGAACATAGTGAGCACTATGATATAGGTCTTGGTGTTTTTCCGGAAAAAATCTAAAACTTTGTTCACGCTCAATTTTAGTTTTTCGCGGTTTGACTTTTTTGTAACTTGATTTCATTTCTTTTGTTAAAAGAAAGGCAAGCTCCACTATCGAACAGCAAAAATGTAAGGGTCGCGAAAAACTTTTAAAAATTTATTGAAAGCCTTTTAGTGTTTTTGATAAAGAAGCGCTGAATTAAGCTTTAAACATTATTCACGGCTGAAATATTTCATTTATGTGCTTTTATATCACCTATAGTATCTCAAATCTTTGCCAACTTATCTCGAAATAGACTTTAAAAAATTTTCCTTTCTGTCCTAAATCGAGCAATATTGCAAAAACAGCTTGAAATTATATATAACTCGACTGCCTATTCTTAGAGAACCTAGAAATGAATACTAACTTTGTTACAAACGGGCTTTTTTCGGAAATTTTTGCATTTTTTAACCTGTTCTATTGGAAACTTGTTTGGTTGTAAAATCACTATCTACAAACTGTGACAATAGTAGACGTTTGCTGTGCAAGTAGCATAGAAACTTCTGACCACATTAGTAAGGAAAGCCTATTGCCTTTCCTTACTCTCATTTCAGACAAACAAAAAACAACACAAGTTTTGAAAAAAATCAAATGTGTGCAGTTTTTTCGGACGTTGTGTGATGAGAGGAGTAAAAGGAAAGCTTTATTACGAGGCCAAGCCGTGATTCCGGAATAAGGCTGTTTTTATTTAATCGTCTTACTGTTGTGGAGTCTACAGAAAGTTGGCTAAAGTTTTGTATTGCTCTAAAAGCTGCAAAATTTGCGGATTCCGTGACTGTACTAGTTCAGACAAGATTTACTTGACAAGTATTTTGTGGATTCCGAAACATGCACTTACAATCTGGAATATCTTTAGAGGATTTTCTCCAGATCCCTTCAAACAGTACGCGTATCTAGAACAAATTTGGCCTGGTAAATTTATTAGTTAACTTGTCATATTCGGCTGTAATTTTCTTTCTAAATTTTCTGAAGACAAAGTTGCTCCTCACTTTCAGTGGTTCGGGAATGGGCATTAATTTCCGGATAAACTTTTTTATTTTTTGTTTTCGCTTAAGTTTTTTCATCGTTTTTTTTTATATCGCTTAGTCACTTCTAATCTCATAGTTGGAAGGTTTTTTTAAATGGATTAATGAATTGCTTCGCAAGGGGACCTAGTTTTCATTTGGAGTATAATTCTTTTTGTCTGTTTATCTAGGTTGACTTGGTTTATTTTGTTTGCAGCAATGTGAAGTCCCTGTTCCAACGAGTGCTGTTGCTGCGACAGAACCACTGGCAATCACCCGAAAGCAATACTGGTACTGGCACAAACTTCGCAAATGTATCTTCCTCGGAAAACTTCAACGATTATGTGAGTTCGAAATAATTGATGTGACATGTATGTCGGGAAGAAATTATTTCTGGTTAGTTATGTGTTTTCTTCAGAAAAAGACTTAACTGTTGTGTTCTGAACATGCTCAGTTTTCAATTGGTTTTTGCTTCTTGAAGCTAATTGTGAACAAATTAATTTTCCAATAGGTTTGTATGCGCTGCTGTGCAATGGGCAGAAATTGACCTTGGTAGAAAAAGATGGGGGGGGGGGTGATTACACATGTTGGCAACATTGAAAGAGGGTCGATTGAGAGGATAAATAGTGTGTTGTGTGTGTTTAGGATGTGCCTATTTTCTTCCTGAGCGACGGGACTGCAATTCCAGCCCACGAGGCCGGTCAGTATACTCTTCCCTTCTCTCCTCTTCTCTTTCTTTTAATTCTTAATTTGAACTTCTTCCACTTCGCTTACTTATCTGTAGCTACTTCATTAACTCGATTTGTTTTAAACATTTTCTGCAACCTCCTCCTGTGTTTACTAGCCGACTCCGCACCTGCATCGGGTAAGACTAACGGCTTCCATTTGCTATGTAATATAGTGAACAAATATACAGTGATGTCCGTTTGAATAAGCAATGGAAATCATTTAGATTTTTCCTACTAAAGTTTCATTTCTGTCGACCAATTTCAATTTATATTTTTCAAGTTTTACTTAAATGGACATGACTAGTAGTTGTTGTTGTAGTGCATGATTCATAGATTAACCAATTAAATACTAGTTGTTTTTTGATGTATGAATACGTATTGCTTTGTAATAGTAGCATGTCAAAAGTGGTTTGGCGAGTGTTTCTAAATAGTCGTTTTGGTACTTTTTAACGACATCATTTTTTGTCTTATTTAAAAGTTTGATTTCTTGCCCGTGACCCTCGAAAAATATATCAGACAGAATCTAAGCAGCTTTAATGTTTACATAATTTTAACAAAAAGTGAAACCGGTCTAAATACGTCAAATCTAAATTCATCTGAAATTGATTTCTTCAAATTATCTACCTTTTCATTTTTGGCAAGCATGAAACTTCTATTGGATTAATAATAATTACACATGTGAGTTAGCGAGGGTAATGTCATGCTACAAAGTCCTTTTTTTCCAACCCAACTCGCAAATAAGAGTGCTCAATTTGTTGGCACTTTTGTTGCTAAGTATTGGCAGTTCAATAGCCTTTGGAACCTGATCTAGACTACATTTTATGATTGGATAATTTAGATATTTTACCAATGTAAAGTATTTAATATTAACCAATCATGATCCATCTAACTAACAACCCACTTATTTGTAAGTGCTGAAGTTACTTGTAATTTCAGCACCAGAGAGATTTGAATTTAACTTAGAAATTAGTTGGACTCTCCCGAGCACTTCAGCAGCCGCAATAAACCAGTATACCCTAGATCTATTGAGCCTAGCAGAGACTAGTTAAACAACCTGAGACTAGATAGTATAAGAGTAAGATTAGGATCGGTATTAGACTAAGAAGTTGCACGAATCTATCCGGCCGAAAATAAGATAGCGTGACGAGCAGACGGTGTACCCTATCCGAAATTACTCTATGAGTTAACCACCTCGGTTCTAACTCATCTGGTGCGACCATAAGTCTCGAACAAGACCTTAATAGCTTAGAATTAACCAAAATAGATTAGAAATTAGACAAAAACATTTAAAAAATGTTATACGACAATAATTTAATCGAAATGTCTCTACGACTCAATAGATCAGAGCCAATATTCCGAACCATAACAGAACTACCCGGAATTGGAAGAAGACCTCGAACCAGAGACGACATACGACAAAGTAGAAACTTGCCATATAGCTATATGATAGTTAGGCAAAAACCAGAACAAACTTTTATATTTAGAATACTACTAGCAATGAATTTAGATTTTCATTTGCAAACATAAAACCTTGAAGTTAATCTTCAAAATCATTTCAGGCGCTAAACAAAATTATTAATATACAATAACGATTGATAAAAAGATCTAAGATCGTTTTCCTAAAACTCTGCAGTAATATACAAAACATGTTTGAAAAATATTTATTGAAAAATAAAAAATAAAAATTAGTAGCATGACAATAAATGGTTAGTAATCATAAATCATCCTGTTGTTCCAGCTCCATCATCTAAAACATAACAGCAATCATAAACCCACTAATATCATCAAAACACTAAATCTTTCCTTTACACATATTTAAAATTTTATTAAAACTTAAATTCACTTAATTTTAAAACCAGATCATCAAGGCTTATCCTTGGATCTTAAATCATTTTCTACTTAATTAAATTTCAAATTTGATCATCAAGGCTTATCCTTGGATCAAACAGAACAACTTTGTTCTCCCCCACCCACTTAATTAGTGTCTAACGACCTTAAACGTCGATTCACTACCCAACCCTTTCTAAATACCTAAGACTAATAGAAATTTTTAAACAAAACTAATCATTCAAATTAGGATAAACAGTGAAGAATTTCGGTTATTCATCCTTCACTTGACCCCCCCTCTTACCAGACCCAGGATAAATCTTAGACTTAGTAAGTTTAAAATAGTATCTAACGAACTACTCGCGTTCTAATTATACCTGAACCTTGTGGATCGATTTACTATTCTCCAACCCTTGAACACAATCACTACCCCTAAGTAAGATTAAGTAAGTTAACACCTTAACTTATACTAGCCACGAGAAAGTAAAAAATCATTCTTCGGAATCGATATACTTTTCTCTCCAACCCTGAACAAACAGACCCAGGTTAAGCTAACCAAAAAATCGTAAGAACTAACAGTTTAAGAAAATAGAAACCATTTAACAACCTTTTGCATCCGTCATCCTAAACCTTATGTCATTTAAAAACCTAGGAAATAAACAAACAATCGTTTTACACAATTGTGAAATAGATAACAAAAAATACGACCTTGTAATCACACCTCATACACAAACAGTTGGATACATTCGAACAAAACGACAAACACTAAAAAGAAAAATAATAACGAAACAAAGACAAATAACACGAAAAAGATTTTCAAAAAATCGAAACGCATTTTCAGAATCAGAAACCAACAGTTTAGACGAACTTTACAAACTAAAAGAATCAATAGATAAAAATTGCCCACTTCACGATCAATTATATTTTTCTGACTCAGAAACAACTTCAAATTCATCAAAAAGAGGAAAAAGAAGAATAAAAAAGCAGTATAAACACAAACCAGTACATTTATACAATTGGAATCAACCAATTCGACACATTAATAATTACATATTAACAGTCATCGAACGAAAAAATGAGCTCAACGCACACCCCAGGTGACGAAACCCCAGATGATGATGAAATCTTTCCTTTTATAATAGATGCAACCACTGATAGAGGACAGCATATATTTTGCAAAAATTTACTATTAAATTTATTTGAACCCGGAATCAGTCCATGTAAAACAGAATTCCCAGATATAAAAATCAAAAGACAAATCATAGACCACTACTTAAAAGATATATGCAACATAACACAACAGTATGGAATCTACTCCATAGAATTCACCTCACCAAACCATAATAATGGAAAATATACAATTCAAACAGACGATCTTGATTTAGAATTTTCAAAAGTTTTTTCAGAATATATAAAAAGCATCCAATATCATAACTCACAAAGAGCAAACTCCATATTCACCAATGAAGTTTTCGCAATAATATATAGTTATATTTCGATATTAGAAAACGAAATCCCAATAACAAATGTCTCACCGACAGAAACATCTAAACATTTAAGAGTACGACATGAAATCACACTACTCTCTAGTTATTTAAACATCATTAAAGAAAATTTCACGAAAGACGACGTTTCACAACATACAAAACACGATCTACAAAAAATTTTGGCATGGTTCATAATAGATTATTTCACACACAATATTGATTTAATTGCACAAGCAAGAAAAAATTTTAGACCCCAAAACTCGAACGATGATACCGCTATCACAGAACAATCAGATTATGTTTGGGACCCCGAATGGTCTCATCCCGCATTTATAAGCTTCCCACAATCAATCTCAAGTCAAGCAATAAGTACGATATCTTACATAAGAGATTATGTAAAAGTAATACCATTAACCATTGATGCAACACCATTAAACTATAATACATTTTTGCCCGATACACAAAATAATAGTTTAAACTCTACAGTTATACACAATGAAAACCTCAATGGAACTAGGAATCTTACTCAACAAGATATCCAGACACCATCACACTTCATAAATGAAGAAATTGTACACACAACAACTACACAACAAAGTATTTCACCAATACGCCCAAATTTAACAACACCAAGAAATACAAATCCTTCACAAACACAGGTAACCTTACAATCAACCGTTAAACCTTCGGTTGCTCCTAAATATTCACATATGGATTACCAAACATACAGACCCATGACAATACCATCAAAAACACGCAAAACATTCACTAGAAACAACTTTGCAGACCATAATTATAATTATACACATCCATCAAAAACATATAACCAACCACAAAGAAATTTTAACCAATATACAAGATCTCGAAATTGGGATAACCCAATGACCCAACCTAATTCAATAAATTTCCAAACAAATCCTCCACAGGATCACAGTGAAAATTACCCATTTTTTCAACAAAATAAAAATAAAAAACAGACATCTTATCAAATGGATTATTTATCCTCAGATGATGATTTCTTACAACCAGATATATTTGCACCAAATACTCAAGAATATCGTAGACAAGGAATACAGAGAACACGTACAAATCATAGAAATTTTTCTCCACAACCAATAGATGCACAACATCAACAACCAATTCAACAACAAAATCTAATTAATACACAATCTTTTCAACCAATTCAACAACAAAATCCAATGACTGCACACTCGTATCAAGCATCACAAATGCAAAATGAAATACCACTCCCATATTATCTCCAACAACATGAAATAACAAGAAACCAACTTTCAAATTTTTCTCAAATGCCAAATGCAGCAGAATCATTACAAATGACAATGAATCCATACCTTATGGGTGGATCATCAATAACATCAAACAAACCTTTAATGGTTTTCACAGGAACAGACCCTGAATACTCTGTAGAAGATTATTTAAATGCAGTAACAGCAAACCTGATTTTAAATATTGGACCTGAACCAATTAATACGCCACTACATCAAAATTGGATACATCGACGCACAGCGTTAATACAAACAACCTTAGATGGCGCAGCCCAAAAATGGTTTTCAGTACTACCTCTAGAAATAAAATCAAACTGGAAAAGGTTTACACAGGAATTTTCAAAAATGTTTGACTCCGAAAGAAACAAACAACAACAAAGAGTTTTATGTAATGAAATTCGCAGATTACCAAACGAAACCATCAAGCAAATAGCAGTACGAATCGAAACACTAGTTCGAAAAGCATATTCATTAAATACACACGACTATAAAAACACAAAGATGACAGAAATCTTAATGATGACCTTAACACCACAA